GTGCTTCTAACCATAATAGATCATTTAAGCATATAATGAACAAACCCAACTACTTAGGTAAGTACTGTTAAAGCACAAGTAGATTTACACGTAGAAAGGCTATTTCAAACTTAAAGTCTGCATGACCAGAAAGAGATAAATACAGAAGAAAAGATTTCCAAATTCAGTAACTACTCACGTAGATGCCCAGCCCATTAAAGGGTTCTCCCAGCGCTCCCTGTTATCAAACTCCATCTTCCACTTCTTAGTATTGTTAACTCCTGCCTGCATTGCATTACGTGCTGGAACAAAAATGTGAACTTTTCTGGTTTTGATGTGCTCATCTGGAACACCGGTTAAAGCAGTGATATCCTATGAAAAACACAACGTAACTTGTTACAAAAGGGTTCACATAAAAGGCTTGAAAAATAATACTGCTTATGTTTTTTACATAACTTCATGCCATGTTTTTAGTTTTTAAGTTACTTTTCCGCATTTTTTTTTCTGGGGTGTTTTGAGTCCAGTTATACAAGTGATTCCAATGCATGTTGGCACAGCTATCATCCTGCTTCCCCTGGCTGAATCGGATTTTACATCGATCAGTTACCTGAACCTGCTCATCTCCCAGCTATACAACTGCTTGTGTCAGAGGAGGGACAGCTCATTCCCTCCCACCCTCTGACCACAGCTGCACAGTCAGGACTGATCCAACTTCCTAAAGCAAATGTGGAAATATTCATACTATTATTTCTCCCTTTAAAAAAATTAAATAAATTAGAGCACAGACTGAAACACTGACAAATCGTGAAATTTTACATTACTGTTAGAGCCTAAACTTCATATGAACAGGACTGTTCACCCAAATCCCAGCCAGCCAACTATAGGCTGTAAAGTGCTTTCACCTGGGTTTAGGTCTGTGTGGAATTAAGAGGCACCAACACCCACGCTGACTCAAGAAGCGATGCTTAGCGTGAAGGAAGAGGCAAGAGGTTATCTTTCGCACAGTAATCTACTGACTGAGACTGCAGAGCAGGTACTAGAATTCAGCTCTTCTACTTCTCTAACCATTAGTTATGACACAAAATTGACCCCCTCATCATGTTTCCAGCTACGGATACCAGCTTTTGTGAGTCAATTCTTCTGTTGATGTTCAAGACCAAGAGAGGAACATTTGATACTGGTAACATTCTTACTATTTTTGTGAAGGACAGAAGAATACAGGAGATTTCTCAAAGGAAGAAAAGAAGGCTTGTAACATTGCACGTGGTCAGTAGCCCCCTCTACTAAGGCTTGGCTTGTGAGCCCTCAACAAATAAACCTACCTAAGATAAAAACTGAAGGATCACAAAATCAGTCTGAAACTATTAACTGACTTTAACAAAGAATAGAACTGGAGAAAAACCTCACAAGAATTGCTGTGAAAAATTACCTTCAGCAGCATCTGATATAATCAAAGTGAACTTTCTCGCTAAAAACTAAACAGCAATTACATAAAATTAACCTGTCAGTTCACCCTAGCAAAGAGTGAAATCAAACATCAAATCCATCTCTAAGGATGCTAAACTACTCCTGTTCCTTACATACTTAAAAGGCCAGTGGGAGCTCCTTGGTCTCCCCCCCTGCCCTGCCCTATCCGCCCCTTCTTCCCCCTCCCCCCGCACTCCAGGAACAAATAGTAAACTGGTAAAAGTCAAAAAAAAAGTGCAGCAAAACTTTGGGCATATTGAACTCATCTCGCCAGCAGTGGCATGACTCGAATTAAAAGGCAAACAAGTTTAAATAAAACACTGTGGCTTTATGTGTCTGTAGCTACTAACTTCAGGGGATTTTGTTTTGTGGCAAACTTAAAAGCTCTTGGTGCTGTCACCAGATCATCCTTTGAAATGAGGCAAGTCTCGTTTTTCATTTTACTTCACAAAATAAAATTTGGAAGATCAGCCCCTCAAAACTACACAAGGGAGCAAGTTTAAAGCATTTGACTTGTATTTGCAATTATAACAGCAGGGGAAACAAACAAGCATGCACACTAATTTTCCAACTTCTGACATTTATTCCCAGACAACCAAAAGAAACTGTCAAAATATCTTAACAATTCCATTACAAATGCCTTCATTAGGACCAAGAGATATTTATTTTTAATTTGAGTCTAGCAGCGATATGAAAAAGAAACACTACCAGTCACTGGAATGCTGCAACACGTAGGTACAACACCTCCTGACAGACTGGCAGTACTGACTCCTGAACCGCAGTTTTAGGAGGAAATGGCTTAAAGTTTTCGTATTTGAACTGGCAAAGTGCTTTGTTTAACATAAAGGGCTTTTTACCTGCAGTGAAGTTTTGTGGGGCTTCAGTGTTTCAGCTTGCCTGTTTACAGGAATAGGCTACTACATTAGCCTTTATTTCTGTATTTGACAAACACGTCTATTGAAAAATGTAAGAATGTTTGCAAAAATAATTCTTTTTCCCCTCTCAAATAATCTGCTACGTGAAAAAACTATGTTCTTTTAATCAAATACCCCCAAATATGCAAGCTTCAAAATAAAGAATATTTTTTTTCATATTATTATTCTCAGCAAGTCATACATCCCTGATGAATTCTACACTTCAAATTCAGAGGTTTTTTAATTTTCCAGAACTATCTGGAATTATTAAAATAAGATGCTATGTTAAATAACATTATGGTCATATACCATTTCCTCTTTTGAAGCCACCACACTAGAGAATCATAAAATTAATACACATTAGTGTATACGGAACACAATATAAAGAGAGTATTAAAACCCAGCAAATGCTGTATTTATGAGGTAACCGTAGTAAAGAAATGCCTAGACTTGTTCATCTGGATGAAAATAAAACCAGAATCCCAGACAAACCGTAAGTCCCTTCAAGCTAGGTTTTTTTCGGGCACTCAGTTGGCTCCAAATCAAAGTTATTTCACTAATAAAATAGGATTCATCCCATAAAAATCTTTTCAAGGTGAAAACTAAAACCTGCCTGCTTTCTGAAACTAAAATATCTACATGGTGTTGCTAGCTCTTCATACTTTGATTCATTGCAGCTAAAGTTTCCATGCCTTCTGGGAATCTAGCAATTGTTTATTGATATCTTCCCCATTTTAAAGCTGGCAATTGAACAGACAGTTGTTAGGACAATGAGTTTCTGCTTTCTGAAGCCCAAGTTGTCCTGACATAAAATCACTGTTTTTGCTTGCTGTAGACATGTAAGGTACTGTAGCATAGCTGAGCTGTTGCCAAAGATATGGAATAAAAAGGCTTGGCATCTATCACATACTTGACACCTAAAGAGCACAGAAGCTCTAAAATTCCTATTCCCTGTAGGCGCACTCTTAGTCTAGACAAACTGATTTCTCACACTTTTAAAATGCATTACAACACTCTATTGTGATCATTTCATCCACACAGCTCCAGCTAGTGACAGAAGAACCTGTCCTTTAAGCGACATTTCAATGGGCTAAAGCTCCCGCTCCAAGATGCCATTAAAACAATGTAATACTTGAAAAGAACTATGCTGCACTGGGTTGAACTCTCTACTGTGTCTTCAGTGCTTTGTTCTGAGTTCAAGTTCTCATTGAAACTACCTGTGAACCAACTTTCCAAAACAAAGATGTTTTTGACAGCTGGTTTCACATTACTATCTTTTTTTTTTTTTGAAGTGCTCCTTACTGAATTTTGCTATATTAGCATATTAAAATATTAGCGAGGTGTTCGGCATTCAAAATTCTAAATAATAAGGTGACAACATGAAAGACTTGAGATTTGAACTGTATAGGTTAACTTTACTAAAAATTAACCACCCTGCTTCACATCTTTAATACAGGCTATCATCTAAAAGGTGCACACTGACATTCTGGTTTTCTGAACAGATACAGAGCAGGCTTTTTTAACAGCAGCCTCTGAATTCTTTGCAATTAAAAAGAAAATACTCCTGTTTCAGGCATTTTGGCTTTTCTTGGAATAAGCTGATATGGACAAAACACATTTTTCAACATCATAAATCACATCAAACTGCTTACAAATGAAGAGGAGGTTTTGTCTTTATTATAACTTCCACTGTGTTAGAACACTTGTCATGGCGGAGAGCCTCGTAAATCTGTTCTGGAAAGTCACAAGAAACGACAAAGGTTCTGTACAGCAAGGAAGAAAACTGGTTCGCATGAGGCAGTGTCAATGAAAGCAGTATTTGGCATGAAGATGACTTTTAAAGGAAATGAGAATTTCCTTCTTCCAAGTACTCCGCTAATAGCACAAATTCCAAAGGGGACAAGAAAGGGGACTCCGTAATTC